GAAATACATAGGATAATAAGATTATAATTATTATATTTAATTGCCAGTGGGCACATTAACTTGAAAGAGAGAGGAAGAGAAAAGGCACCTCCCCATTGGGGGCATGGTCAGCGCTATGATCCATCTTTTTCCATTTATCCTTCCAGTCAGGATTTTGGACCTGTGTACACATGCCCAGAGGGTTTTGCAGAACATGGTGACTGGGATTCAAACTGCAGTCAACCATGTGAGATTCTGCTTTCAATGGACAGTGATTAGCCACTATACTGTGGGACTGATGTGATGAAGAGATTATTATGAGCAACCATATGCCAACCAATTGGAAAGCTCAGAATAAGCTCAGTGACTTAATTCCTAGAAATTTACAATATCCCAAGACTAAGACATGAGAACATTGAAAATACAAACAAAGTAGTAACAAGGAGGTAAAATCAGTAATCAAAAATCTCTCGAGTGCCAGAGAGCTGTGCAGTAGTAGAACATGATATTCTGCTAGGCTGAATCACATGGCAGAGTTTAGAATGATTACTGCTTCATTTTATAATGCCAATATTATTTTGATACTGACATTTGACAGAAACATTGCAATAAATAAAATCTACAAACCAATATCCCTCAAGAACTCATATACAAAGCACTTGAAATTTTTCAACATAAGAAAATTAATAATACATAAAAGAATAGTACATGATAAGCATTTGGGGTTTATTCCAGGACTGTACATTGATTTAACATTGAAAATAAAACATAGCAACTCTCCATACTAACAGACTTTTTTTCCTTTTTTTCTTCTTTTCAGTTGCTAGAGGGCACACACATTTACCAGAGAGACAGAGAGAGAGAGAAAGAGAGAGAAGAAAGAGAAAGAGGGAGAAAGCACTCCCCAGTGGGGCCTGTCACCCGCAATCCCTTTTAGTCCACTTCATCATTCTGGGATTTTGAGCGTGCACTCACATGCTTCTGTTGAGTTTCTCAAGTCACCAGGGCTGAGATGCATGGTTAACCATGTGGTAGCCAGCTTCCTTAACCATGAGGCCATGGGACTGACCCATACGACAGATTTAAAAAGAAAAATTATATGACCCTCTCAGTAGATGCAGAAAAAGTATTGAGCAGTGTCTAGCATCCCATTTTCTTTAAAAACTTGACAAATTAGCAATAGAAGGGAACTTCCTCAACCTGATAAAAGACATCTAAGAAATCCTGCAGCTAAAATCATAATCACGAAATTCTAAATGTTTTCCTCAAGATCAAGAACAAGACAAAAATGGGATGGGAGTTATTGTTGTGGCAACCTTTGAGAAATATAATGTCACAGTATTTTAGAATTTGGCAAATTTTTGAGAACGTGTATGTGTGTATGTGAGTGTGTAATTGATGATGATCTAAGTTCATGAGATGCTCTCCAAAGATTGGGAATCCTTATCTTGATAAGAACCTTACTAAAATAAAGAATGGTAAAGTTGATTATAGAATATTTGACTACAAAGCATCTTCATTTCTACAACATGCCTGGCAAATATTACCTCATTGTAGCATCCTTATAACCTGTGCTTTCCCATTTTTAGATATTCAAACATTTATTCTAATTGACATGGCAGAACCATTAGTAACAACTAAAATAGAAGGGGGCTGTAGACTTGCTAAAAACTTTAAATAACAGAATATTTTTGAAGAAATTCTATTTTATTGAATTCTAGCACTGCCAGGGATCAGGGGACATGTAGACATGTTTTACAGATGTCCACATTCTTAATTAATTTATTTTTATTTTTATGTATTTACTTTAGGAGTGAAAACAAGCTCATTAAGGAAAAAATACGGGACAGACTACTTCATATGTGGAACAGCTGTATGAAGAGAGATGGGTGACCAGTTCGAGAGGAAGGGGAGAAATGTTAGACAGACAAGTTACCCCATAGGCAGAGCAGCCTGTCCACATTATGTAAACAGTAGCCTGAATCACTTGTATACTTGTACTTTGAATACAATTATTGTGGAAATCCTTCATCCTGTGAAGATACTTAGTCCACTTGAATACATGAATATATGAGTCTTATTTTTTGTAACCCCCTCTTTCTGTTTTTTTATTTTTATTTTTATTTTTATTGAGAGGTGTTTGCTATAGGGTTCCTGTGCTCATCAGAAAGACAGAGAGAGACAGAGACAGAAAGTGAGAAATCACCCCCCAGGGGGGATGGCCATGCCACAATCCCTTCTCCCCCGTTATCCTCTTCGGGTCTTGAGCACACATGCACATTCGCCCAGTGTAAGTTTAAGCCACCAGGTTTGGGACTCAAACCACAGTCGACTACATGGGAGTCCAGCAACATAGACATTATGCCAACTGCTGGTCTCGATGCCCCTCTTGTCACTCTTGTAGCATGCCATTCTGTGAAGATGTTTCCTGTCCATTTTACATATAGTCATGAAATATCAGTTGTTTACTGTTTGGATTGTAAGAGGCTGGGAAAATAGTAATCTTATGTAGTTGTTCACTTTTTGTCAAGTGTTTCTATTTTTATTTTAACGAATATCAATTAAATCTCCAGTCTCCTTTTCTTTCAAATTTCAATTAAATCTGAAATACAACAAGTACACCAAAGCTCCTAAATCTCTAAATCAAATCCAACCAGAAATATCTGAAGGGAGAAAACAATTAACAAAATTTCCCCTACTCTATACAAGACAAATCTTTACACTTGGCAGTTACATTGAGAAGAATATATGTGTCTTGTTTTATTTCCATATCCTGAATAGTGGATTGGATGTATACTTTACTAAGTTAAATATTTTACTGAATTCCTTTGTTTGGAACACTTAAGAAGTACAAGGGTCTTTGCTTTTGAAGTTCTTATAATCTAGTTACGTACATGAAACCTTTGGTAACAATTCAAAGCAAGATAGCAATTAGTGACATTATGAAGGCCTATAATATAATGTGATGAATAATCCATGCTGCCAAAAGACAGATATGAAGATGAAGAAGAATTCAAGAGAGTGAACCATTTTACAGGGTAGACGTAGGACCAAACTATACAGACGGATTGTTTTAGCACCACCTCTCCTTCCTGTATATCTTACCTGTGCTTAAGTTTTCTCTAATAGGAATGAAGAGTTTGCCAGTTACTTCTGTCCTCCCTCCTATGCATCAATAATGGAGACACTAAAACAAGGGAGAACTGCTCTGACTTCTGGATGAATGCTGCTGCTTCTCTGCATTTTTTTCTCTTTTTTTTTTTTTCCTGTGTGTTTTTCCCTTCCAGGAGTGCTAGCTTCAGACTTTGTATTTATATTTAAAGGTTCAGGAATCCTTATCTCAAAGAAGACTTTCCTTAATGAAAGACTTACAATAATATTATACCTCTAATATCATTGGGTAAATAACAGGGGCAGGATTTGATTATCTTGTAGGTACTGTTGTGTTGTATTTTGAAATGTGTCCCTTAAAGCCATACAGATTCAGCTGAAATCCTGGTTTCAATATTATTATTTGCATGGCCTTAGAAAGGTTACTTTACCTCTCATATTAGCAGTGCCTTTGTCTGTATAACATAAATTAAAATATTGGTCTAAAATATACTTTTCAGGAGAGTTAATGTAGATAACTAGCACAGAGCTTTGCACAGATATATATCAAAAATGATTTTAATTACTATCTTCATTCTAATAGTCTTTCAATTTTTTCCTCCTTAATACACTTTAATTAGTTCTATGAACTACTTCTCCATCTCCAAAGTCATCAAGTTTAATAATGATGTTTCTTCTTAGGCCTAGGACATTAGTTTGTTAATACTTGCTAACTGGCCATTTTACCACCTCTCTCTTTTTCTCTCTCCCTTCTCTCATTTATCTCATGATTTAGCATTTAAAGAAGTGGCTTCTCAGAATTAGAGTATCCCAATCAATGACGAAGAAGAGAAATGAGGAAGTAGGATGCCTAACACATAATCTAAACTCCTCAGTTTGGTAGAGAGGCTCCTTCAGTCAGCAGAGTAGTTCAGAAATTTCTTATTTTCTGAACAGTTGGGACTGCTACTATCTGGCAAGCTGTTTAACTATAACTTTGCATTATCTCTTATCACCTCAAAGTCTAGAAACGACATTTTTTGTGTGTAGCTGTTGCATAAAGCTTGTTTAATGAAGATATTAAAACCTTGCTAGCCCTTCAGAGATGGTTTGAATCTTAGCTGGTATAATAAGCTCTCTTTAATTTCTCTAGCCTGTGTGGAAGGAAACCAGGGCACATGCTTTACAGCAGGTGCTTTCCATAATTGTCTCCTTCGGTCCTCATAAAACCCTACAAAGTAGTTATTTTCAAGTTACTTTCAAAAGAGAAGACTGGAATTCCAAGTCTGATCAAATTTGTACAAAATTCTGCATCTAGCAGGATGAAGATTAAAATGCTGCTAAATCCAAGTGACTTGAAAATCCATATCATTTCTAACCATTCCGTATTCCTTCAGTTATACACTATCTTGAGTGGAAAAAGATGACATGAGAGATGTGACAGGTACTAAGTGAACTCGGGCAATCTACTGTTCTTGTATTTCATTATTCTGGAAAACGTGTTTTTTTCTCTTTAACTGGTTGGTACATACAGAAAGGTTAATTTTATTGTCAGTACCTTGCATTTTTGTTTTCAGTATCCTCTAATCTGTATTACATATTTAATTAAACTGCTTCTTAAAAAATAAAAAAAAAAATAGTTACTGGAATGTGAGGATTTGAGGATATGAATAGCATTCCATCTACATTTGAGTCATAGAGCTTGGAGTTTGGGGATATTCCAGAGATGACCTAATCCAGCTCTTTCATTTTATAGATGAAAGGCTTGTGACCTGACATTGAGGAAGGCCACTTAGCCAAAGGAGGGACAAAAAGTTACTGGTTTAATTGAAACTCGGTTATTTTCATCTTCACCTGAGTTATTTTCCTTACTCATTTGGAGATGTGAATAGCTGTGTTCCTGGCAGGCAATGAGAGGCGGGCAGTGCAGGCTAAGGGGGTGGGCTGCCCGCTGGCGGCTCCGCGCAGCCCCCGCACAAAAGCCTTTGCAGAGCCCGCTTCACTTCTCTGTTCCGCAGAGTGTAAATGAAAGGGTTGAGCATCGGAGTGACGATCGTGTAGAAGACAGCAGGGGCCCCAGCCCCCGCGCCCCTGGACCGAGGCTGCAGGTAGATGCACACGGGCGGCAGGTAGTACAGGAGCACCACCGTGAGGTGCGCGGAGCAGGTGGAGAAGGCCCGGCGCCGGCCGTCGGCCGTGCGCATGCGCAGCACCGCCGCCACGATAAAGACGTAAGACGTGACGATGAGCGTCAGGCAGCCTGCGGCCACCGCGCCAATGTTGGCCAGCATGACCAGCTCGTTGACCGCGGTGTCCGCACAGGCCAGCTTCAGCACAGGCGGGATGTCACAGAAGAAGTAGGCAACGCGGCGGGGCCCACAGTAGGGCAGGCGGAAGGTGAGGGAGGTGTGGGTTGCGGAGTGGACAGCCCCGGTGGCCCATGTGATCCCGGCCAACGCCGCGCACGCCCGCCTGTGCATGGCCACCGGGTAGCGCAGGGGCTGGCAGATGGCCAGGTAGCGGTCGTAAGCCATGACGGTGTACAGGAAGCACTCAGTGCTGGCCAGGAAGTGGAAACAGTAAAGCTGCACAGCACAGCCCTCAAAGGAGATCACCTTCCCCCCCTGAGTCAGCAGGCCTGCCAGGACCTTGGGCACCGTCACTGTGGACAAACAGGCGTCCAGGAAGGACAGGTGGCCCAGGAAGTGGTACATGGGGGAGCGCAGGTGAGGATCAGAGCCCACGGCTAGGAGAATGAGGAGATTCCCAGTCAAGGTGATGCTGTAGATGAGGAGGAAGATGAGGAAGAACAGGCTAGGATGCTCACCTGTGTACATCAGTCCCTCCAATAAGAAGTGCTTCACCACAGTGCGATTGGGGTACCCTGTCTCCGTGACCATCTTCTCACACGCGGAGTGCTTACTTACCTCTAAACTGACATAAACAGATTTGTAAGTAGCTGTTTCTCTCTATTGAAATACCGTTACCCGTTGGGCCACACCATCTTGGTCTTGATCTGTACCGTGAGACTGACAGTCTTTGTGGGACACGTAGACGACTCCAAGGATTATTTGCAGACATGCAGTCCCTAAATGATGACACTGTAAACCTTGATCATAAGTCCCACTTTCAGTGAGCATGTACTTTTGGCACATATTCCAGAATGACCGTGCATCTGCCTTCCTTATTTACTCTGCATGCTGCAGATGTGGACAGGCAAATTCTTATTGCTGTGAATCCTCAGAGAGTTGCTTTTCATCTTCAGGGGAGCCTTGCCTAGGGTTTGGGTACTATTAACATCAGCCAGGCAAACAGCAGTCCCACCTAGCCCTGGTCCACAGGGAATGCTTGGAATTTCAGCTACCCACAACTCTCAAGTGTATATGACAATGAAGCCTTGGAGAGTAGTCTGAATAATTATCAGGACATTTAAAAAATACAATAATAGCACATTTTTATTTAATACAATATGTCAAAATAGTTTACTTTTAATAGTAATGATACAAAAATGTTAAATGAAATATTCTACATTTTTTGCATCAAGTCTTCAGAACTGAGTATGCATTTTATATATACCACACTTAATTATTAATACATACTTAAATTTCACAGTTGCAAGTGGCTATGAAACATTTAGGTCATTACGTGAGGAGGGGCTGTACTAATTTATATTCCTATAAGCAGCATTAAAAAGTTCTACTTTCTCCACTTTTTTTTTATTATGGTCTTTTTGATAGTAAATATTGTAATGGGTAAAATGATAGATCACTGCCGTTTTAATTTGTATTTCCCTGACATTTAGTGAGTTTGAACATTTTTTCATGTCTATTGGTAACTTTATAGCTTTTTTTGATCAATGTTTATTCAGATAATTTGTCCCTATTTCAATTAGTTTTCTCTCTCTTTTTCTTTTTTTTTTTTTTGGAGAGGTTTTTTTTTTTTTTTTTTTTTTTTTTTTTTTTTTTAAGGACCTGGCCGCCTTTTTTGTATAAGGCATGTGCGCTCGCCAGAAAGACAGAGAGAGACAGAAAGACAGAAAGCGAGAAATCACTCCCCAGGGGAGATGGCCACGCCACAATCCCTTCTCCTCCATTCTCCTCTCGGGATCTTGGGCACGCACGCACACCCACCTGGCTTGAGTTTTAAGCCACTGGGTCTGGGATGCAAACTGCAGTCGACTACATGGGAGTCCAGCGACATAGCCATTACACTAACTGCTGGTCCCGCCTTTCATTTTTTGATATTGAGTTCTTGGAGTTCTTTTCATATTCTTGTTATTAATCCCTTATCGAGGGTATAGTTTGCAGATATTTTCTCCAGTTTTGTCTCTTTACTCTGATTGTTTTCTTTATTGTGTAGAAGCATTTTAGTTTGACATAATCCTATTTGTCTATTTTTGTCTTTGTTGCCTATGCTTTTGAGGTCTTATTTAAAAATTCTTTGCTTACATCAGTGCACTGAAGTGTTTCTCTTAAGTTTTCTTCCAGTAGTTTTATAGTTTGGGATCTTAAGTATAAGTTTTTGAGTAAATTTTCATATATGATGAAAAGAGGGGTCTAGTTTTCTTTTTTCTTTTTTGCTTATACATACCTAATTTTTCCAGCATCATTTATTAAATAAATTACCCTCTTATTTATGTATTTTTTATATTTTTTAAAAAGGCACATGCATTCACCAAGGAGAGAAAGAAAGAGAGAAAATGAGAAAACATCCACATAAGGGATGATCACAACGCAACCCTTTCTTCTCCATTTCTTCTTTTGGGATTTTGGGCACATATACATGCACTGGGAATGTTTTTCAAGCTGCTGGGTTTAGGACTTCATCCATGCAGCCAGCCATGTGAGATCCAGGTGGCCTGAGACTATTCTTACTTTTTTAATTATTTAATTTTACTTATTATTATTATTAGTAGAATTATTAATTTGCTATAGGACACTCAAACCCACCAGAGAGAGAGTGAGAAACCAAGAAAGTAAGCCACCAGTTCCACAACATGACCTGCAATCAGCCATGTGAGAGTCCAATGCCCTAACCACTTCACCACCTGCTGGCCTTGAGATGATCCTTTCCTTTCCTTTCCTTTCCTTTTCTTTTCTTTTCTTTTCTTTTCTTTTCTTTTCTTTTCTTTTCTTTTCTTTTCTTTTCTTTTCTTTTCTTTTCTTTTCTTTTCTTTTCTTTTCTTTTCTTTTCTTTTCTTTTCTTTTCTTTTCTTTTCTTTTCTTTTCTTTTCTTTTCTTTTCTTTTCTTTTCTTTTCTTTTCTTTTCTTTTCTTTTCTTTTCTTTTCTTTTCTTTTCTTTTCTTTTCTTTTCTTTTCTTTTCTTTTCTTTTCTTTTCTTTTCTTTTCTTTTCTTTTCTTTTCTTTTTCCTTCCTTCCTTCCTTTAGAAATATTTTTTCTATAGGAAGAGTGTGCTCTCCAGAAAGACAGAGAGACAGAAAGTGAGAAATACTTGTCTAAGGGGGACACCATGCCACAATCCTTTCTCTTGCATTCTCTTCTTGGGATTTTGGGCACACTCACACACACACCTGGTGTGAGTCTCAAGTCACTGGGTGCAGAACTTGAACTGCAGTTGGCCATGTGGGAGTCCAGCTCCTAACCTCTATGGCATCTGCTGGCCCAAGACTGTTCTTTTTTTTTTTTTTTTTTCTTTTTTCTTTCTTTTTTTTTTTTTTTTTTTTGAGAGGAGGGCACATGTGCTCACCAGAAAGACAGAGAGAGATAGAGACATAGAAAGCAAGGAATCACCCCCCAGGGGGGATGGCCATGCCACAATCCCTTTTCCTCCATTCATCTCTCGGGTTCTTGGGCACACATGCACATGTGCACAGTGTGAGTTTAAGTCACTGGGTCCAGTGGTTAAACCACGGTCGGCTACATGGGAGATATAGCCATTACATTAAGTGCTAGTCCCTATCCTTTTCTTTGAAAATCAGTTGACTATGTACACATGAATTTTATCTAGGTTCTGTTTTCTGCTACTTGGTCTAAGTGTCTGTTTTTGATTTTGATTTTGTTTTTCAGTCCTATGTTGTTTTGGTTACATGTTTTATATTTTGAAATCAGATAGTGTGATGCCTCCAGCTTTGTTCTTTTTGCTCGAGATTGCTGTAGCTGTTCGGGGTGTTTTGCAGCTCCATAAAAATTTCTTGATTGCTTTTTCTATTTTTGTGAAGAATGCCATTGATATTTTTAAAGGTATTGCATTAAATATGTAGATTGCTTTTGGTACTGTAGACATTTTTTTTAGAGTTTTTTGCTATAGGGTGTGTGTGCTCGCCAGACAGAGAGAGACAGAGAGACAGGAAGTGAGAAATCACCCCCCAGGGGGGATGGCCACGCTGCAATCCCTTCTCCTCCATTCTCCTCTTGGGATCTTGGACATGCACACACACACACCCGGAGTGAGTTTTAAGCCACAGGGTCCGGGATGTGAACCACGGTCGACTATGTGGGAGTCCAGTGACATAGCCATTACACTAACTGCTGGTCCCAGTATTGTAGACATTTTAACAGTATCAGTTCTCTCTATTCATGAATGCTGTGTCTTTCATTTTTTAATGTCTACTTCAATTTCTTTAATGTTTTTTAGTTTTCATTGGAAAGATCATTCCACTCTTGGTTGAATTCATTACTATGATTTGTTTGTTTTTGGTAGAGTTAATGTGATTGCTTTTTAAATTTCTTTTTCAGCTAGTTCATTATGGGTGTATAAAAGGCTACTGATTTTTGTATGTTTTTTCTTCTTTTTTAAAGAGATTTGTGTGCTCATCAGAGAAAAAGAAAGACAAAAAACGAGAAGTCACCCCCTAGTGGGGAAGACCATACTGTGCTCCCTTCTCCTCTTGGGATTTTGGGCATGGATGCACACGTGCTGGCATGAGTTTCAAATCACCAGATCCAGGACTTGAACTGTGCTTGACCATGTGGAGTCCAGTGATGGAACCATTATACCATCTGCTGGTCCCTATTTCATATCCTATGACTTTACTAAATTTGTTCATCAGTACTCAACATTTTTAGGTTTTTCTATATGTAATATTGTGTTGTGTGCAGGGATAATTTGAATTCCTTCTTTCCAGTTAAAATTCCATTACTGTGAGGGAAGCTATGCTCTAAACTTCATCTTCTAGACTCCCAAAATATTCAGACCAGAAACCATTTTAAAGCTGAGGTGTGTCCTCGCCTGTTCAGGGAAACTATGCTCAAAACTTTTTCTTCTAGACTCCCAAAATATTCAGACAAGTGGAGGAGAGATTTTGTCACAGAGTGACCAGAAACCACTGCAGAGGCACAAGAAATACGAGAAACCAAGAAAATATCTCTTTGCTAAGGTAAAAGAACAATCCCTCATCATCCACAGACAGTACAGCAGAACTCGTGAAAATGTCTGATAGAGAATTCAGAATATTTGTAGTGACAAAACTAAACGAGATGCAAGAGTTCATAGACAGTGACCTCTAGAAGATGTAGGAGAAAAGAGACAATGAGTTCTTGGAGGTGTTGAAGTTCTTCCATGAAAAAGGAAATACACACCATTAAAAATAATTAAATTGAGCTATTAGAGATGAAGGCTGCCATTCAGGAAACCAAAACCTCCCTCAAAAGCATTAAAAGCAAAATAAACAGAACAGCCCAGTTAAAAAAAAGAAAAAAAAAAGTATTAAAAGCAGATTAGTCCAGGGGGACCAGCAGTTTGTGTAATGACTATGTCACTGGACTCCCACGTAGTTGATCGCAGTTCGCATCCCAGACTCGGTGGCTTAAAACTTAGGTTGGGTGCATGTGCGTGTGTGCCCAAGATCCTGAGAGGAGAATGGAGGAGAACAGATTGCGGCATGGCCATCCACCCTGGGGGGTGATTTCTCGCTTTCTGTCTCTGTCTCTCTCTGTCTGGCGAGCGCACGTGCCCTGTGGCAAAAACCTCTCCAAAAAAAGAAAG